AAAATCTGATTTGGGGATTTTATAGAGAGGGTCGATGGTTTGTATCTGTAAAATGACAACCTTGTCCAAAATTAGTACCTGAAAGGTCTATTTTGCCCTTCATTTTGCGAGTCCGATGGTGTAACTCCCTGTTCGATTTATAGAATTTCTTAGAAAATTCTATTTATTGAATACTATTTATGAGGTTATATTTGTTTTATTAGTCGCGATGACGACTTAAATATAAGGTTGGAATACTCGACCGTTTTATTCAATAACATTCGTCATTCGGCGATTTCGGTTTAATCGCGTGAGACGGATCTAGCCCGTTGAAATATGGAATTTTGAGAATTATTTATTATTATTATTATTATTAGTTATATTTATTTGTTGTTGTTATTTCTGTTGAATGCTATAAATTATTAATTGTCTAATATGGTTTATTTGTCAAATTGCCTAATTGTCTAAGTGTTATTATTTAATTAAAATGTGTATTTGTATTTTTACTGATATTATTATTATTATTTGAATTAATTGCCTATAATTGAGTTATTGCTCGACACATTTCTGTTTAGACTTATTATTATTTAATTAAATGTAGTCTAATTAATATAATAAGTCTTGTAATTTTTTTTATCGTCAATCGAATCGAACCGGAAAATTCTCGTTATCGCGTATATTTATTTTCGGCCCTTTTACAATTTTAATGTCAGCCCATGTGTTTAAAATTTTGGGCCCCAATTGTTAAAAACCTTCTTGGCTTTTTAGTATATTTCTTTATTGGATCCATTTTGTTTAATGGTGGCCCAAAGCCTTCCTATTTCTATTTTTTTCCCCACGTGAGAAGTAGCAGATATTTTTGAACTCGTCGTCTCCTTCTTTCTCGTGAAACCGATTTCCCTGTATCTCTCCCACTCACTCGCATCCCTCGCTCACGACTCTCTTTAAATCTTGACCGAGGAGAATGATTCAACATAAGAAATCTTCCCATCTTCTTTCACGTTAACAGCTTCCTCCGCCATCGTGAGTCGCCGGCGGGCCTGCCTCCATGCGCCACAGCTTGTCGACGCCACGAGCCCCTGTTCCTCGCTGTGAACCATTTCGGCGACCTTCCTCCGGCGAACCTGGTCCAAGCGCAGCGATTCCGGAAAGTTCCCTTTCCCTTCGTGAGCAGGTCGTCACCGGCGGATTCTCACAAGCCCCTCCTCCGCCGCGTTGCTCCTCATCGAGCTGTTGCTCCTCCTAGCCGGCCGTTTCAGACCTTCCTCTACGAAGACTCTCCGATGGACCCTTGCCATCGCAACATCTCTGGCGAGAACCAGTCCGGCGAGCCCATCCTCCATCGCCGTGAACCAACAGCTCCTTCCAGCCAGACCAACCTTTGCGAGCAACTCCTTCTGGAGACCCACCACCGCGCGCCGGCCCCGTCTCCGCTGTACTGGAGCCGCTTCTCCACCACAACCCTAGCTGTGAAGCTCCGTCGCTGCAAGCCGCGAGTTCTCCTTCGCCGGCGAGCTCTTCCTCTGGTACAGGCGACTCCTCCGCCACGACCAGCCGTCTCCGGCGAACCTTGAACGCGCAGCCCTTCGGTCGAGCCGCCGCTGCCCCTCCCTTTCGCGAGACAAAGCTTGCCGTCGAGCCTTGAGCCGTCTTCGTGTGCCGTTCGTGCACCTCCGTTTCGTTCGAACGTTTAATCCCGAGAACGGTACAAGGCTCGCCTCGTCCCGTTTAATTTTACGTGCCGTTTATAATATGTGTTTATTTGGTCATCGAATGTGTTATGTGAATTCATGTGATAATGCCTAAGTTGTTTAGTGTTCATGAGAATTTTGATATATATATATATATATATATATTTGCAAATTGGATATCAAAGTGGTTGTCGTCACTTTGAATTATTGTCGAACTGAATATTATGCAGTTCATTTCGTGGAAATCCTAGAGTTATAGGTACTTGGAGTTGTCCTTGATCTGTTAGTTTTGGTTTGAGGTCGTTTCGAGTTGTATTTTGAGAGTTATGATTTAATCCGAGCATGCAGCTGAACCGTAATAAATTCACCATAAATCGAGTTGTTATCCGTTTGAGCTGAATTTTTGATATGTTGTGCCTCTGAGTATGTGGAATATGTATGCCAAGCCCCGGATTTTATTTCCGAGTTTTTGGAGTTCAAATGCTTAAAAGGGATTCTGTGCAGAAACTTGTAAAATTCATTAAAATCGAACACTCAGAGTTTTAAACTGATACTTTCAGGAACGTGTTATTTTGTTATGTTTTAGGTTTTGTAAAAATTTCAGATTAAAATTCGAAGTGTAGCTATGCGAACTATTAAATGTGGATTTCGGCGCTGTTTTTGCCTAAATTATTTAAAAATATTCCCGGATGAATTTAGGGCTGAAACTTGGCGAGTTTATGTGTTTTTGTATGCTTTATAATGTGGTAAAGTTTCAGGTTGATTGGCTGAGCCTAACTCCTGATTCCGAATTTATTTTATTTTGGAGTCTTAATGTTCGGTTATCGGTTGGTTAGGTTCGGATAGGATTTATTTAATGTTGGCATGATTTATGTGAATTATATGAAGTATTTGAGTTGTGTCCAGGTCTGGTAGTCACTCCATAGTACCTAACTCGGTCAAGGAATCCACGAGTCACTTAGTCGATATGATTTCGGCTAAGTATATGTGCCTTATATGTTGTTTTGTATTGGGCAGTCAGTGATAGGTTCTTATAAATTGTTGTAGGTCCTTCGAGCTGAACTTGTGCCATAATTCCTTCAACTCTGTGTTTGGCTATACCACTTGCTATATCCAGGTGGTTTTTATTTAATATTTGCTATGCCTTATTTAATTGCTTTTGCTCTAGTATGATCAATGTATGCATGTGAACCATGTAGCCTTCGATGTGAGCTATATTGGCCGTCGAACTGTTATCCCCGTAGCTATAGAACGTACCTTCGGGTAGTCTCCTTTATTATTGTTGGCAGTCAGGGCGTGAGCCTTGGCTGGTGATCCTCGTATGTAAGGCCAAGGTGCAAGTTTTGGCATTCGGGGTGGATTATTGCTCCTGCTGGCCGGACACTCGTTGTAGGGCCTTAGATAAGGCGTTCGGTATATAGTTCGGCAGTAGTCTATTGCTATAGGTGTGCACATGAGACTCATTATTGATTATTGACAGAGGATGGGACGATTATTGATTCGTATACATACTGCGACCATACCTACTTTATTTTATAAATTCGAATATTAACTGTTGCATAGCGGTGAGCACCTCGATTTTCCTATTGTGCTCTTCATGGATGCAGGTTAGTAATTTGCGGGCACGATAGAGGGAGGCTAGTGGTGGTCATATTACTGATTATTTCCGTTGCATAAACTGCTTAGTATTATTTATGCATTTCTGATTTACGTTGGATTTTGGATTATTGATAGGGAGTGTACTCCCTAGTATTTATGAATTTGATGAACCCAGATTTGGGTGTTGGCATGAATATTGAACCCGGTTTGGGTGTTGGCATGAATATTGAACCCGGTTTGGGTGTTGGCATGAATATTGAACCCGTTTGGGAGTTGCATTTATGATAATGTTGAAATTGTTTTTGGAAATGAGTAGCGCCTCAAGTGTTTTGAAATAAATTTTGAACAATTTATTCTGAATTTTGGCAAATAAAAGTGGGGCGTTACAGATGGCCGGAAGTCGGTAAGTGTAACAAATCCTGAAGTTTAAGGGTTAAAGTGTCGGCGGAAAAAAGTTGGTGGGCAAAGTGTAAAAATGCGAATAGTTCGGTAGGTAAAGTGTAATTTTCCCTTGGTTTTTTAATTTTTACACTAATTTTGTAATTTGGGTGCCTCAACAACAAATCTTTGCACAACAAATACATCATGGTTATCTTCTTTCAACATTCATGGCTATGTATTTGTAATAAACACTCCCATGTTCTTTTTATTTATTTATTTGTTTATAACCATTTTTTAAATTTGGTGCGTCCCCAACAAAGTTACGGAAAAATTACAACATGGTTATCATTCATGCTATGGTATTATAAATAAACACACTCATGTTCAAAAGAAAACAAAAAAAGTAAAATAAAATGTTGGGCAAAATAAGATTCTGCAATTAGTAGTAATACGATCAATAATATTTTATTGACAATACTATACGGTCGTTGGGCGAAACCCAAAATTAGTTTATTATAATGTTCAACTAAAGTCTCGCTAGTATAGTTTATTAGGTTATGATTTATATAAAGAATTTACATGTCGGTTACCAACATGTACTAGTTTACCCCGTGCATTTGCACGAAAAGCGATATAATAAAAGAGAAAGTAATTAAAAATACAGAATAAAATAAAAATCATACAGAAAAAAATGTAAAAAAACGAGTCTAAATATTACTAAACACTTCTTTATATGCAACAGTCGTGGTTTTTCCCATCACAACAATTCATTATCGTTAACCCTTTTCAACTCGTGACTCTGGATTTTGATTTTTCAAAATATTTGATGTATCTTTGGAATATCCCAAAAAAATACTTTTTTATTATTGTATGACAACAATTAAAAATGGAGATATTTGTAGTTATTCTTAATTAATTGTAAAATATATATTTATATGATACCCACAAATATATAGTATCAATATAAAAAAATATTTTGTATTTCAGGACATGAAATGACATTACAGAAATGGGCACATCCAAAATGAGATGTGTCAAAATAAATTGTGTAACTGAAAATTACATATTATTATTAAATGGTGAACATATTTTTATTAAATAAACACCTATTATTATTAAATGAACTCATATTATTATTAAATGCTGGCTGAATAAAATTTATTTAAGCTTGTCAGCAACTATATATATATATATATATATATAGATGGTAGAAGCAGCACAAAAGCAGTAATAATTATCATTTCACAATACATTTTTTATTTGAAATATGAAATAGCAGTACATACATCAATGGAGATTACAAATTGTTCCACAATGAAAGAAAAATCATTTATTTTAATAGATAGTTCGAAATATATATAACGCAACAAGTGCCATAATTTCAAAAGTAAATACGCGACAGCAATCTCAATTTCCTCTCCTTCTTCTTTGCGCTGCCATAAGTCTTTCTTCGGCCTAGTAGTCGCAAACTACTTGGGCAAGTTTGCGATGGTTACGTTCATCTCTCGCCCTCATTTCACCAGGATATGGGTCAAGCCCTAGGGGTTCAAAAATTATCTTCAAAGTTTCCCATAGAGGCTCAATATTGTTGCTACAGTAATGGTCTTCTAATGCCCAAATCTGAGAGAATATGATGTACTTGAATTACACAATCATGAATGTAATTTTACAATATTATTAAATAGCAAATGGAGTTAACACAATGTTCGTAATAAAACATATTTATATAACAAAACGAAAAAAAAACAAAGGAATTGTGGTTCAAATTTCGTACCTCAAGTGCTTCCTCACGAATGTCCTCGTCAAGATAGATGGTCTTTGCGTGTATGTCGAAAACACCCAATGGATAATCTATAAAATATTTAAATGCTCGATACTTTTCTTTCAATACCATGAATGTGGTATAGCATTCTTCCAAAGTCAAATTTATGGCCAATTTCACCCAAGCAACTTCTGTATATTCTATCAAACGCCATATATATGTCAAACTCGGAGTTCAAGCCCTCTGACTGGATGTAATGTAGAAGGATGGAACAAAAAGATTCCTCAGCTGGTGGAGCCATTTGTTTGAAAATTCTTCACGTATATAGCGGAAATATTCTTCCTTTGTTTCTGCCAATGATAAACCCCACATGATTGCAAGGAAAATCAAATAATGGACGTTTTGCAGTGGTGATAATTGAACATATACATTTATAGTGAAACCCATGTAGGTATATATATAGGCAAAGTCTGCTGGTGATAATTGAATTGGATATAATGGTAATACTGCGTACCGGCCATCATTACAGTATAATTACATCAGCATGTTGTTTTTCAGTTGTACATTAGTAAAATATGGACAAAGAAATATGGATTAAAACGTTGCAGACCCCAACATCAGCTACATTCACGGTACACAAACTTTGCCCCATGCCTAGTGGTCGTACAGGTTGTTTTTTACAATTACAACTCATTTCCCTTCTCATTTTAAAAACTTTGCCCCATGCCTAGTCGCGTCGTAAAGGTTGTTTTTTTTATTTTTGTTTCTGTTTTTTTTTCCTCACTTCTTATATATTAATGAATGTTGGAAGTACAGGTTCGTTTCTTTCCACATGAATAAGCTTCATATGCATTAAAAATAAATTTTATAATTCATATATGTTTATAATCTATATATATATATATATATATATATATATGGATTGGTTCCAATGCATCCCATTATTTAAAGTGAGGACGTGAGACTCATTTTTAGCCACAAGATTTGGTACATCATTTGTGGCCAAGATTTACTCTTTTCTTTTTATTATTTTAATTATTTAAATATTATTTTGACCCGTTGACTCCGGCGTTGACCATTTGACTTCCGGCGAAATTCGTTGACTTTCCGGCGTTGACCGTTGACAACTAACCTTCCAACTAGGTTAGTTCTATGTAGTTGCTAGTTTTTTTTTTTTTTTAAACAAACAACGCCCCGGAAGGGCGAGGGATTGAGTTGGATCCCCAACCTGTGCATAGATCAGGGCCCCAAAATCGAGGGTCCAAAATATCAACGAGCAAGATACAGTTGTTGACACCCGAGTTCGAGAGCCGAACCGGAGACCCGGTCCACTCAGAAAGTGCCGAGCTGGACCGGAAAACTTTTTGACCTATACATTCCCGTGAGTTCGTCCGCTAGTCCGGCGTTTTCGACTGTGAAGCCCCGGTGCCGATCCGAAGAGTGACGGGCTGGAAGAAAGGCTCCCAAGGAATTGTAGGAACAAACAAAGAAAAGGTGCCGGCCTGGAGTCTCAGAATGGGTCCCTACGATGAGGAACGCAGAACTCAATAGTAGTATAAAAATGCCACTTGGAGGGTAATCATTGGTTAACGGATGGGACATCTTAGCCTGTTGGCCTACTTCCCCTCGCCACGACATAAAGCCTGCCAGCATTAAATGCCTGTCAGGCAATGATGAGGAAAACCTCAAATCGCATTAAATTCTGTCAGGGAGGCGCCGAACTACCCTGCAAGAAACACTGTACGACAAGACTGGTGAATAGTGCCTGAACAGTGTCACATTTAAGGCAACTATAAATAGCAGCCCACTTCATTTATTTTGGGTTGTTGAATCCCAACTACTTGTACTCATATTTTCTCTCTCTAAAGACTTGTAAGAAACTCCTGTAAGCATTATAAGTATATCGCAAGCGCCGACCTCGTACGAGAGGCCGACCTCGTGATCCGTTAATAGAACCGTAATTAAACCATATTTCCTTGTCTTTATCTTACTTTCTTTCCATTACTCGACTTTTTAACCGTTGACCGGAAACGTCCATCAACAGTTTGGCGCTAGAGGAAGGGCACCATAAGCTACTTGGTGTCAATTTTTCGATCTTGTGAAGCTCCACTTCGCATTCATCTCTTCCCCACTCTTTTCACTCTCGAAAACAACTCAAAATGCCTTCATCCGGACATGACGACTCCACCCAGCAGTCCGGCTCCCAGCCTCGCCGACGCAACGGCGGGGAGACCTCCCGTCGCGTTCAACAGGGGCCCATAGTCCCTGTTCCCCCAGTTCCTACATTCGCTGCAGCTTTGCAGCATCCGACGTCCTCAAAGCCCTCGGGGGGGTCTTCGCCAAGGCCCTCGCCAGTCAAACCGCCGGGGCAAACACTGTGGTGCCCACGGATAACCCCGGTAACACCTTGCTCCACACCCCTGAGAAGGAGACTGGCGGACAAAGGAACCCAGCGAAATCCAAAACCACGGCCCAATCGCCGAACCGCGAGGCTCAGAACCGCCGTGACAAGAGCGCCAGACCAGCTCCCATCGAGCAGACAGGGGAGAGCCGGCCGGAGCGAAGCCTCCCGATCGTTCGCCGCTCTGTCCACCAGCGCTTAGGTGACAAGAGCCAAGCCAACCATGATCTTCGGGAGGTGATCAGGCGGGGCAAAGCCATCGGGCACGACACTGAGGAAGTCGTAGCCCTCAAACGCAGCATTGCCGAGTTGGAAGGTCGGCAGCCCACCGGGAGTGAGTTTTCACTCCCAGATCATCCACAAACTCGTACGCAACCGACTCCTCGGGTCGCGGACAACGCATCACCTCTCTCCCTTGATATCCTGCAAGAGGCCGTCCCGAAGGGAATACAAATACCCCAGCTCGGCCTCTATGATGGGAGCTCAGATCCCGACTCCCACCTCGACCTCTACACTTCGTGGATGGACCTGCACTGCGCCTCCGACGCCCTGCGCTGCCGCATGTTCTCCCTGACGCTGGGGCCCAAGGCGCAGAGGTGGTACCATTCCCTTTACCCCCGCTCCATTTTCGACCTGGACACAGCTCAGGTCGGCGTTCCGGTCCCACTTCATCGGATCGCAGGTCAATCTCGCCCCCAAGGAATCAATCTCCAACATTGTACTGGGCGAGAATGAGAGTTTGAAGGATTACATCGCCCGATTCAATGACCGGGTCCAAAATATGGAGCGGTGCCACCCCGACGCCCTGCTCATCACGGCCCAGGGTGGCCTCAGACCGAAGACGCTGTTCAGGTGGTCCCTGTGCCAAAACAAGCCGACCACCTACCAGGAGTTCCTCACTCGCGCTCAGGACTATATCATGGCGGAGGAATCCTCATCCATCCTGACATTCGACGCTGCGCCGGCACCGGCGCCGGCGAAGGCGAAGGCAAAGGAAGAAAAATCGGGGAAGCCGAGTAAGTCATTCGCTGAGATCCGGGCTCAGCGGAGGCAAAAGGCAGAGGAACTAAGAGAAAGCTACCAAGGCGTCTTCTCGGTAGGAGCCGCGGCGGTCTACGAGGAAATCAAGGCCAAGGGGTTGTTACCGGACCCCAAACCGATGTTCACCGATAAAGACAAGGTGGATAAGACCCGCTACTGCTCCTACCACAAGGCACATGGGCACAATACCGACCAGTGCCGAAATTTGATCTCGGCGCTGCTCAAACTGATAGACGATCCCCAACTCCGGAGGTTCACCCACTCTGGAGAGAAGAGGAAAAAAGGGGGCCGCTTCGAGGAAGGCCCAGACAGCAAAGAGGACGCCGACGTGAATCCTCGAAGGAAAAAGCCGCAGCAGGGCGGCCCCCACGAAATCATGACCTTCTGCCCCACTCACCAAAGTGAGGCTGGCACCTCCAGGGGCAGATAAAGAGACCTGTCCCCACGCACCGGGGCCGATCCGGCCAACATCCCGACCCGGCGCGTCAACACAAGCCGGAGTGAGTCCCTCCTCTCCCGGAGACAAACCAAGGCCTATGCCCGACAGGCCTATCACGCCGGGCAAAGGGTGATGCACGCCAACAGCAGGCCGGCGCCAGAGCCGACCCCAAACACCATCACCTTCAACGATGAGGATGCCTTCCTGTTCGACCATCCCCACTCCGACGCCCTGGTGATCACGGCGCCGATCATGGAGATAAAAATTCATCGCATCATGGTCGACACCGGGGCCTACGCCAGCATCCTCTACTACGAGACCTTCAAGAAGATGGGGATCGATAGGAAGGAAGTACAGCCTTGCCGGGAGCGGATCCAGGGTTTCAATGGCCAGACCATCGCCCCAGTTGGTCAGGTCATGCTACCGATCTGGTTCGGAGAGAGAGGGCAGCCCGCGAAGACAATCTTAGAGACTTTCAAAATCGTGGACTGCCCGAGCGAGTACAACGCCATTCTAGGCAGGACGGCTCTGTACAAACTAAAGGCCGCCGTCTCCATCTTTCACTACTCCCTCAAATTTCCAACTTCTGATGGGGAGGGGACCCACCGGGGGGACCAGAGAGAGGCGCGGGAATGCATCCTGACCATCCCGCGCACCGAAATAAACGTCGCGAACCCCCAGACGGACGCCGAGGTGACGGACACCGGGTCGGCACACGACGGTCATAGGGGCAACCGCATGCTGGGAAACCAGACAGGTTCGCACCCCTTGACCCCATCGAGTGTCGACCCCATCATCCCGGAACCCAACTCCGGGGCAGACAACTTGGCCCCCAGTGCCGAGGTGACGGACCCCATCGAGGACAGAACCGAGGCTGACCTCGACAGGGATAGGGGGAGAAGGGCTGGCAAAAGGCCGATCATGGAGAAGGACGAGCTCGACCCCCGGACGCAATACGAAGAAAAACGGGGAACAAAGAGGGCCGAGCCGATGGACGAAGTCGAAGTCATCTTCATTGACGAAGAAACTTGCCAGAAACAGCTCCGGATTGGGAGCAAGCTGCCGGGGCCAATGAAAGCCGAGCTGACCGAATTCCTCCGACAGAATGCAGACGTCTTTGCATGGACCCATGAGGACATGGTCGGCATCGACCCTCTGGTCGCCTGTCACCGGTTGTAGGTTGACCCCACGGTCAAGCCGGTTGTGCAAAAGCGGAGGAAGCTCGGTCCCGACCGACAGCAAGCCTTGGAAGAGGAAGTGACCAAGCTTAAGGATAACGAGTACATTCGCGAAGTCCGGTACCCGACCTGGGTGGCCAACCCGGTACTCGTGAAGAAGAGCAGCGGGGCATGGCGACTGTGCATTGATTTCTCCGACTTAAACAAGGCGTGCCCCAAAGACAGCTATCCCCTCCCTCACA